TGTCAGACACGGAAAGTCTAAATTCATTCCCTGGACCGTCAGGGAGTACTCCCACAAGAACGATAGCAGGTAACAGAAAACTAAACTCATCCAATAATCATGGCTAGCACCCACAGTTTCCGTGTATGGCAGTAGAATTATCGCAGATTCCTTAACAAAAAGGCATCGGTCGCTGCGCCAATGAATTAGGTCAATGGGGGACAAACCAAAAGTAATCATACTGCAGGAAACTTTATCGGACGAGGTCCACCACTCCACCTAACCGGCTACAAATCGGTATGTAGAGCAAAACATTGTGGAAGAAGATTGGCAACCATCGTTGAGAGAGAGCTACCTTTTATTGAACCAGATATCCCCCTCTGATTGACTAAATCAAGTATACTCTAGTATGAGTCGTACTTAAAAGGCATGGAGGCAAGGGGCGCAGTATATTCTGCCTAAACATTTACAGCAGTCCCAGCGCCAAGAAAGAGAGCTCCAGGACACTTTTCAACAAGGCACTCGCCATCGCCAAGAGCTCTCCGCTCATATTAGGCGACTTTAATGCCCCCTGCCAGGCGTGGGGATACACTTGGAATACAAATAAAGAAGAAGGGCTATTGGACATCGCCACAGATCTCGCACTGACCCTGGGTCACAGGTCCCGTTAATTCGGGAGGCGATCGCTGGGCTAATTCCAACGGCCGAAGTACCGGCCCCCTGAACCGCACCATGAAAGCGTGGACAATTTAGAAGCGGTCCTATTCGGCGCGCCAGCGGACGCCGGCTGTGGCCCAAAGAACAAGTCAGAGACGAGAGTTGATAAACAAAACAAAATTATATTCTCAATTATGGCAGATCAAAACGATACGCAAGTATGCGCACTCGACAATAGTTGAATACAATATGTCACCAATCAAACAATGTACTACACAGTACAATCAGCCACACTCGAAACAACGGACACAGACAACAACACGCACTACAATGCAGTCGCATGCATCGAACAACCAAGACTTTTAAAGACTAAGGAGCTAGAAAACCTATTCAGTCCAAAGTTCTTGGAACAAAAGTCTGGATGATACTCTTCCGAGAATCACTCACTCAAAGTCCAGCGTTGTTGTCGTTCCGCTGCCCCCGAAGTTTCTCTTCCAGGAAACCTCGCGTCCTCACTTGGCCGCTCTCCAAGCTTCAAACTTTTTCGCCAGAAACACGCCGGCTTCCCCACACGCAGCTGTTGCCACGCGTCTTCTCTCAATAGCGGTAGACACACACTCTTGCCTGTAGCTCGAGTCCTCACCCCTAAGGTGGAAATCCTCCTCTTCTCCTCCTTTGTCACGGAAGACAAAAGGCTTCGCCCACAAGGCAGAACACCCTACGCACTCTGGCGCATACTTTCTTCTTCTCCTGCTTTGTAACTAAGGACAAAACCTTCACCGACAGACACGGCGGAATACCCTACGCACACTGGCGCTAACTTCCTTCTTCTCCTCATCTCCCATCTCAGCTGCTCGATTAAATACCTTCCGCGCGAGATTCCAGAAATGTTCTCATCATTTCGTCGGCGCGATACGCAGCGAAGGCTGGGGAAAGGGTCAGACGGTACGAGGGCCGTCCGCGAAAGATGACGCAACCCTGCATCACCACGGCCCTTTCCATCGAGAACTCTCTAGGGCTTGCTCGGCCGCCGATGCGAGGAGGTTCGTTGGCGAACCTACGTTTTCGAGGGGAGAGGGACGCGCGCCCGGTGAGTCTTTGGTTGTTTGTTTTCTTTTTTTATCGTTGACCTCGCGGCATCTCCCCGACGCTTCGTCGCGAGAATTTGGCGGCGCGCCCTTTTTGAGCGCTCGTTTTGTGACACTGCCCCTTACTTTAAGAATATTATCTCATAATATTCAAAACGACACAAACGAGTGCGAATGGTCCCCACACTCTCAGAGACTGTAACACAGACCGTCGCTCATAACACGTCACATTCATTATATATCACTGATTACAATTGTACATTGTGATTCAATCTCACTACACATAGAATATAGCTGCAGGTGCATGAATACAACACTCCTCCATCACATACTTCAAGCAATACAAATGTACAAAGCTCTGTCATTACAACAAATGTAGAATACTATACATCACATCACCGTAAAAAATTTTGATTCGCTCGACATGCAGTTGTGACACAGGATAACAAAACACAACACATTGAGGCTCAACACAGACAAACGCATCCCGATTTGACCTCAGCACCTATCCTGAGTACTTCGAGCTGCGCTTGCGCCCTTTCTCGCGGTGCTCGCTCGATCTCTTCTTGTTTTTCCTCGTTTTGTTCCGGCGAGCCCTTTCCAACGACGGTATCTGAGGCGGCATCTCAGTTATCGTTGTCGCTTCCGTCATTGTTAACGGGTCGTAACGTTCACCCGATCCTGTCACCCGCTTGTTCATGTCCCGACATTGGGCCTGGCTGACCGACTCTGTCATCTGTACACTGTCGGTCGTTTGAGGTCGTGCCGACGTAAGTCCAGCTGCCCAGCACGTGAACTCATTCAACACGATGATCTTCTCATTCACTGTCTCTTGCCCCGCGGCTTCACCTTGGGCTCGAGTGAGATCCGTCTCGGGATGCTCCTCCACTGTATCTCGCGGTCGCTGGGTTGGCGAGGGCTCTATCTTAGGGTCTTTTCCCAAACGTTCTGGATCATTCAGCCCTCGCGCCCCGTCGATGTTTCTGATGACGAGGTCGTACAGGGGGGTCGTCATGCATAGAGCAGTAACCTTCCCGCTGAAGTACGGAGTTTCAACCTCAATCTCTGCTTCGGGAAGGATCCGAACGGTACTGTCAATCAGGCAAACTGGTTTCGTTTTGCCTGTTAACTCACTTTCCCGCACCGAATTTCTCCGCACGATAACCGTGGAGCTACCGGTGTCTCTTAAAACCTTAATCTTCTTGCCCGCAACTTTTCCAGGCAGCGTTCGCATTCCCTTCGTAACACCGGTTGGCTGTTTTGTCATTACAGCACCCACAATAGGAAGTTTCTCCCCATTTTTCAACTCTACGAATCCGTTGGTGACGGCATCACCATCGGATTTCGGTGCTGCTAGCACACAGGATACCTGGTGAGTTTGACTCACTCCGTTACGACAAGCCTCTGCTTTGTGCCCAGTCTGACCACACTTGAAACATTTTACGACCGTGGGACTCGTAAAGTTGGTTCGACAGTTGTTCGCGCGATGACCCACTCGGTTACACAGAAAACATCGTGGAACACTCTCCGGTGCACGCTTCTTTTGTCCGGGTGCCGAATTTTTCGAATCTTCGGGACACTCCTTCTTGACCTTGGCCAAATTAGTTCTACCTTGCACTTCCAAGAATTGATCAGCCAATTCAAGCATGCCTTCAAGTGACTCAGCCTTCCTCTCTTTCAAGTACAGCGACAGGCTTGGGTGGCAACTAGTAAGAAATTGCTCTCTAATAAGGAGCTCTCTAAGCTCATCGTACTCTTGCGCTGTCCCTGAAAGTTCAATCCATCTGTCGAAATAATGGCAAAGTCGGGCGGCATACTGCGTAGCCGTCTCACCATCAGCTGGCTTTCCTGTCCGAAATCTGTCCCGGAAACCTTCCACAGTAAACTTTACTGTGGAAGGTTTCCGGATTGTGCATAATCAGTGATTATGCACAATAAGGGCGTAATAGGTTGGATGGCTATGACGCTTTCATATCAATGGTGCTTGCCGAATTTTATCACAGGGACAGCAATTAAAAATATTTAAACCAACTGTGTATATGTAACTTACCAGTACTGGACAATGCTATGCACCCTTCGCCAAAATTCAAAAGATACTTCGACATGGAATGTAAGAAATCAAAAGATATACGTAAGAAAAACCAGGTGTAGAAATACATAAATGTACAATAAATGCTTGACGATCATGACTGTTCCAAAAAATATAACTTCTTCGCGGTCATAATTGTGCTTTAGTGCTTCACAATCAAAAACTAACCGATCCTGTCGGTTACTGGAGCTTCTTGCATTTATTATCGTCAATTGCAACGATGACACAGACTAACTTAACGAGACTAGAAGTACTTAGAAGTACTCTAATGGCAATACTCCACAATTAGAGACAACGCACTGAAACATGAAACTGACTGATAACCACGAAACATGTGCGTCTCGATGGGTACTTAACAAGCTTTGATGCAAATTAGTATCATGACTTCTTGCGAACATGTTTGAAGCATGGATGCAAAAATTTAAAGAAAAAAATTTGCAGCCACGAGTTTTGAACCGGGCTTTTGACCTTCGTCACTATTACGATTACGCAACACTCGTAATCCTTGCATCATCGGCAACTGTGACGCGTGTCGATTAGAGGCGCTTGTCCAACTTCTTCATGAGCACATCATTACGATAGAGCAACATTTCCATTTGCAGAAGATGTTCCTTGTGCATCATCTCGGCTATTCTAGACGAGTATATGTCGCACTGCACCGCCTTGTCCTCGAACGTGGGCTTATGTATACATTGCACTTCCTTGTCAAAAGGGATGGCAGTCTCGGGGGTGTGGACTTCGACGTCCGGCAGCGGCATGGTGTAGTCATGGCAAACATCTCTGCCGGTGAAGCAGCTTCGTCTAAAGCCTCCAAGTTCACCATCACCGACGCCAGACGGTGGAAGGTCGCCATCGACGTGATTCGCCTCACCCGGAATGCGCGTCGGTTGCGAATCAGGCGGGATAACAACTACGGTGCTGCTCGCATTGTCGCTCAACCACGTTGGACGATCGCGATCAAGCGCCCGTCCAGAACCACCACCAGTGGTGCAAGAATGAGGCGGGCAGCTGGAGATTCCTTGCCCGTGCGCTCCCGTCTCGTCGTACTCTTCGAGTTCAGCAGCTCCACCGTCGGTATCTTGCACGAAGGCCTGTTGCCAGACGTCGTCCATCTTGTAGACTTCAGACATTACAGACTTTGGCACACAGGCGACTCACAATTGGGCCCAGCCGTGAGTTCAACAATGCTAGCGTTCCCAGAGTCCGGAGCTTCGAGCAAAGGTGACGTCTGAACCGGACCCAGCCACGGCTTCAACCATCTTAGCGCTCCCAGAGTACGGCGCCAGTTTCGCTGATCGTGGCTGGTCTTCGAGAGACCTCGCGCGCTTCGGAGCCCGCTTCGGAGCCCGCATCGGAGCCCACTTTGGAGCCCGCTTTGGAGCCCGCTTTGGAGCCCGCTTCGGAGCCCGCTTTGCAGCCCGCTTTGCATCCCGCTTTGGAGTCCGCTTCGGAGTCCGCTTCGAGTACCTGGACGCGGCATGGCCCGACCTCGAATTGCCGACCGAAAAGTCTGGGTCCTTGTCGTCGTCGGACGTGACCTCATCGTCATCACTCTCTTCGTAGGTGTCTTCGCTCTCCTCTTCTACCCTGGCCGTCGATTTGACGATCTTCAATGAGCTGCTGCTCATCTCCCGAGCCAAGGTAGCCGGTGACGACGTAAAATTAGGCCCAGCCGAGATCCTACCATTCCCAGAGTCAGGAGCTTGAACGAAGGTAACGTCTAAACTGGGACCAGCCACGGCTTCACCAATCTTAGCACTCCCAGAGTACGGTGCCAGTTTCATTGATACTGGCTGGTCTTCGGGAGACCTCGCACGCTTCGCTGCCCGCTTCGGAGCCCGCTTCGAGCCTCTGGAAGCTACACGGGCCGTCCTCGAACAGCCCACTGTGAAGTCTGGGTCCTTGTCGTCGTCGGGCATGACCTCATCATCGTCCCTCTCTTTGTAGGTGTCTTCGGTTTTCACTTCTACAGTGGCCGTCGATTTGTCGAACTTGAATGCACTGCTGCCCACTTCCCGGGCCAAGATAGCCGGTGACGCGTCGCCGAAAATCAGCGCGTCTAGCCTTTCGGTCACCTCGTCCTGATCCGTGCCATCAGCGATCACGTCCCAGAAGAACGCCTCCATTTCCTTGGGAGCCACTTGCTTCCTTATCAAGGAGCGCACCTGACGGGCCATGTTTGCCCACAAGCGCCAGTGACTGCAATCCCAGTGGTCGGTATTAGGAGTAGACTCCATGATTCGCAGCCATAAGGTGAACCTTTGTGCAGGGGAACATTTTGTACAGGGCGCGCAAGAACGCACGATCTTCGTAAGACCAAGAAGAAAAGTAGTAGTTACCACCTCTGGGCAAGGACGCAGCTCGAGTCTTGGTCTGTTTGGTCCACATCTTGCGATGTCACTCGATTAGGGCAGCCGCAACAACGTTCGATCCTTTGCGTTAACAAGACAAAGACCGTCGCTGCAAGCGAGCACGTGCTCTGCAGTTCCAGTGCACGAGGCCGCGGATTTTCCTTCCTCCATGCACGTGACAGAGGCCGCGTTAGAGTAGTTGCTAGACTATAAACGCTCACTTAGCGCTATCTAGTTGAAGGAAACTGAAACTCTCCCCAAGCTTTTTGTCGTCCACGCATGCTAAGTCCGATAACGGTCAATGCATCCTGGCTACAAAACTTTATAGCCAATCTCAGCGCCGTTAGAGCGTTAGGGAGCATGCTAGATATTTTGGCAGCATTCTCTTTGCCGTAATGTTCTGATCGCCAGTGTTTGGCACTATCATCGACACAACCGGAGGCGGTGTTTGCATTGAGCGCTCTTTTTGGCGGGCTACGCCGCTCTGCGCATTATTGTACAGGCCAGAAGGGGGCCGTCTGCAAGCTGGAGGAGGCTGCTGGTAGATGATATCTTTGACTTGTACGGTTAGGTTATGTTACGCTCAGTTTAAACATGACTGCCTGTTTGGGAAGCACAACTGGCAGTGTCTGCAGACGGCCGCTCGCGGCCGGCTTGATCACCTCAGAACTGGCCAGACTCTGACAGCTGGTCACCCGTTGCAGTGACCTGCCATTCTCATGCGATTCTGCTGGTCGTGGAACAACAGAAGCACGCCAGTTTTGGTGAGGCGAAAACAGCGCAGACAACAAGAAGGGGACGCTGGCAAACCCTGCGCACACGCTTACGGTTGCAGGCGGTCACAGCAGGTGCACCATGATTGACAGCGTGCATCATCCGCCAACGTGAAAGAAAGAAAAGGCCGCCTTTGTGAAGTTCAGTACCGTTACTGCCGCGAGTGTGAAGTCAAGGTATTTGCCCTTCTTTTCGACAAACTGATACATCGAACCCTGTACACCTGAAATATGGAGTGGTGCCCCTACAGCTTCTTCCAATGCTTAATTACGGGAAAGGAGAAGTGAGAAGAAAAGCCTTGTGGTTAGCACAGGCCTATGAAAGAACGCTGGCCAAGGCTAAGGGTGACACAGCCTTCACGTGGTCACTAGTGCCATGTTGCGAAAGGGGAAGAGAAAAGGCTGCAGTCAGAAAAGAATTGTAGCCAAATATATTTTTTTGATGAGCATAAAAGTGGACATAGACCTCCCCACGCCAACACTGCCCCTGGCTGCACAAATGAGATAGAACTATGGATACTTATGAACCAAATAAACCAACTGACTCTAACAATATGAAGGGAATGACAAGGCTACCTAAAGTTAAAAACCAAGATCTGCTAAAGGAAAAAAAATGGATTGGACAAAATAATGAAAAGAAAGAGTTAAAATCTTGCACAATCTGTTCAACCCACTAATACAGTATTTACAGCCACAAAAGAGAGGACCTAACGTTGGGGAAACATGTAGAAACCACAAAGAACAACACACAATATATATATATATATATATATATATATATATATATATATATATATATTGAAATGAATCTGAATAACGGACGCTTTGCTGGTAATGAAGAAGACGAGGATGATCGGTGGCTGCAGTAGTAGCTCGCGCACGCCGCTCGCCATTAGCCAGACCTGCCTGATAAAGCTCATTTTGCCTAGCTGCGTCTGAACCTTTCTCGACGTACAACACCTCTATTTTAAGTGGTGGAGGTGCGGGGTACCCATCAACCTGGAACTTCGCAATCGGACGCTGCCCTCACCATTCACCATGACTGCTCCTGGCCCTTCCCAAGCTGCCTTACCAACGACAGTCTACTGTACTGGCGTGCCTCGGCTACGCGACCCACCAATTTTTCGCGGCAACGACGAACAAGACGTCGAGGACTGGCTCGTCGAGTACGAAATCATAAGTGCTTCCAACAAGTGGAACGCCTGCGACCAGCTCACAAACGTGCGCTTTTACCTCGCTGATGTGGCCAGCCTCTGGTTTAAGAACCACGAAGGCGAAATCACGAACTGGTGCGGCTTCAAGACCACCATCACCGCGATCTTCGGTCGTCCCGCCGTGCGCCGGTTTCGCGCGGAACAGCGTCTCCGTAGTCGAGTCCAGCACAAAGACGAGACCTTTACAAGTTACAATGAAGATGTCTTGTCTCTTTGCAAGTGCGTCGATGAATCTCTAACCGAACGCGACAAAATCAAGCACATCATCAAAGGAGTTGACGACGATACCTTCCAGATGCTCGTCGCTAGGAATCCACAGACCGTCACCGATGTTGTCCAGCTCTGTCAGGGGTACGACGAGTTGCGTAAGCAGCGTGTCTCGACGCGCAGGGCCGCTGAAAATACAGCTGAAGTTTCCGCCCTCGTGCACGACGTCGCTGCTGATCACACCGTCTTACTGCCCCACATCAAACAATTCATTCGTGAAGAAGTTGCGCGTCAGCTTTCTCTTGTGGCCGAAGCATCCGCGCAAGTGACCTCGTTAAACCCACGTCTACGCCTAGGTCATTAAGACACAGGTCACGGAGGCACTGCCTCCATCGCCATCTGTCCCTACGCCACTGACCTACGCTGCCGTCGTTGCTAGACCCCCAGCCCCACCTGTCTCTGGCGCATACCGGGGCACCGGGTCCTCCTACCCTACGACGCTGCCTACATACACGGCACCACATCCCGTTTCGCCCCCTGCACCTTCTGTCGTTAACCCATGGCGCACCTTGGATAATCGACCCATCTGTTTCGCATGCGGTTTCGTGGGACATATAGCACGCTACTGTCGCCGTCGCAACTTCCAGCCTTCAGACCATGAGAATTATGCAAATTACCAGGCTGCCCAGAATCCCAAGCGACCATCTTCTCCTATCACCAACTCATTGTCCCCACGACGCCCTGTCGATTCTTGCCGGTCATTACCACCCCGTCGCCGATCTGTCCCCCCGATTCTTCGGCGCACGAGCCCCGCTCGAGAGTAAAACTGACAGCCACAGTTCCGGAGGCAAGAACTGCGTCGTCGTCGAACTTTCTAAGACCTCCTCTTTGTCCGATCAACGAAATTGATGTGCTAGTAGAAGGTGTTGCTGTACGTGCACTTGTCGACACAGGCACCTGTCGTTTCTGTAATTAGTGAAAAACTGTGTCGCGATTTGAGAAAAGTTACAACGCCGCTTACGAATCTTGCTCTGCGTACAGCCACCTCTCATTTCATCGCGCCGACAGCTCAGTGCACAGCACGCGTTCTTATTCAAGATGTTTGGTACGCCGTCAACTTTGTTGTTCTCCCACGTTCACCTTACTGCGTCATGCTAGGATGGTATTTCCTTTCTACCCATCAGGCCCTCATCGACTGCGCTCGTGCTGAACTCACGTTAACGAAACCGTGCCTTCATATCGACCACCACAGTCCCTCGAAAGTGTTTGCCGCAGCTGACGTCCGCATCGCGCCATTGTCCGCCGTCCTAGTGCCTGTGTTTTTCCCTGCTGCCACTAACTCGACGCTCCTGTTCCAGCCAACTATAGCTAGTGTGCAACACCGAACCATCGTCCTCCCGTTTGCCGTCATCAACTTTTCCGATGGTTCGGCGGTACTTTATGCGTGCAACGTTTCTGCTCGTCCATACATCCTGCTACGCGGCGAGTGTCTGGGAAGCCTCGAGACCTTAAATTGTATTTTCGAAGACCCGATCTATCCAGACAAGCCATTTTTACCGACTTGTGCCATACACCCGCAACTTGACGCTAATGAACCTATGGATGTATTCCGCAAGTGCATTGATTGTAACCTCACGCCTGGGCAGCAGGAACAGCTGATCAAGTTCCTACAGCGTTTTCGAGCCTCGTTTCACCACAATCAGCCTTCCTTAGGTCGAGCGTCATCTGTTGTTCACCGTATAGATACCGGTCAAGAGACGCCAATACGGCAGTGTTCATATCGTGTGTCAACTACCGAACGCCGTGCCATCAATGAACATGTTGACGACATGCTGACACGTGGCATAATCGAACCGTCAAGTAGTCCCTGGGCCTCTCCAGTTGTGTCGGTGAAGAAGGACGGATCCATCAGGTTTTGCGTGGACTACCTGGCGCCTCAACCGAATCACGCGCAAGGATGTCTATCCGCTGCCACGCATTGATGATGCCTTGCACTGCCTACAGGGAGCCGAATTTTTCTCTTCTTTAGATCTGCGCTCTGGATACTGGCAGGTACCCATGGCAGAGGTCAATCGTGAAAAAAACTTCTTTCATCACGCCCGACGGGCTTTACGAATTCACAGTCATGCCCTTCGGCCTCTGCAACGTGCCAGCTACTTTCGAGCGGATGATGGACTCTATCCTTCGAGGCCTCAAATGGAATGTTTACCTTTGTTATTTAGATGACACTGTCGTCTTTTCAACTGATTTTGCAAACCATTTACCCGCCTCGAGAAAGTCCTCGCGTGTATTTCTGCCGCGGGGCTGCAACTGAATCTGAAGGAGTGCCACATTTTGCCCGCTCGAAAGCTTACGATCCTTGGCCACGTGGTTTCAAAAGACGGCATTCTTCCTGACCCTGCTAAACTTATAGCCGTTTCAGCGTTTCCCAAAGCGACCACCATGAAAGAGCTCCGAAGCTTCATAGGCCTTTGCTCTTACTTCCGGCGCTTCGTCCGCAATTTCGCGACGATCATCGCTCTTTTGACCAAGCTCCTTGCCGGCTCTAGAGACCTTTCAGCCTGGTTTGCCGCCTGTGATGATTCTTTCAATGAACTGCGCCGCCTCCTCACGTCGCCGCCTATTCTGCGAC